CTGTGTTAGAAAATCATATGCTAGGGCAGGGGATGGTCAATTATTTTTGTCAGATTTCATGGCTGAGGTTCAGGCACGGTGCAGCAAAAATAATCCTCATCAAAAGAATGCTACTAATAATTTCTTAAAAAGATGTCAGGGTCTATTCAAAAGCATCTGCCAGTCTGGGTTTGGCTCTTGAGTACCCACAGATCAGCCTGTGAACTGCTACATGGACGTGGTAAGGGGCAACTTCTGCTGGGGGTGTGTGTGTCCTGCACAGGTGCAAGGTGGCATGGCTGCCCTGAAATCAGTAGGCTCTTGATGCTCTATCCTGGCTGGGATGCTGTGTGGGGAGGAACTGCTTGGCTGCAGAATTCTGATGGTTTTTGGCTGCCCGGAGTGCTTGGCTTCTCTCCTTGGTTGCAGCAGTGGCGCGGAGGCCGAGGTTCAGGGAGGGGAGACTTTGCTCCAGTTCTCTGGGATGTACAGGAGACCCTTGCAATTGGCAGAATTGCTGGTGGTGGTTCCGTGTGGGGGGGGGGGGGGGAGCAGAGGCAGGTGGTGGGAGCTGGGAACTCACTGTGGGGGCTGCGACTGGCAACAGTTTCCTGTAATGCAGCTTCCTTCTCCAAGCTCCCCGCTCTGTCTGGAGCAGGGAAATTCACGGGGTTAATTTACTGACCCACCAGGGATGCAGGAGAAAGTTCAGAGGCAGGATGGTTAAGTGACTTGCTCAGCAGACGGGAGGCGCAGTCAGGCATTGCACGGGGAACTCGTGGGCCCCTCCTGCAGGTACGGTCCCAGGGGGTGGAGGCAGCTGTGCAGCTGACACAGGGAAGCAGCTTCTTCCAGGGAGCTCTTTACCATCACCTTGGATTGTACATCAGGGGGCTCTCTTAGTATATGTATGTACAGCACCTTGCACAACGGGGCGCCGATCCCAGACTGGGGCCTCTGCTGCTACTGTAATACAAATACTTAACTAACCTGAGTCCGCAGCATCTCTAGCAGCACCATCTTTTATTACGGGCTTCTGGGGCGGGGAAGGAAAGGGGACGCGTCCCCGGTTTGGTACCGGTGCTGGAGGGAAGGAGAATGGGGTGAGATCAGAGGGCGGCGTGCCAGGGGCAACTCCCAGGAACGAGACTGGCCTGTCATTCTCGGCTGCCCTTTGGTGTCCCTCCCTTTTCTCCCCAGCGCTCTGAACATCTGTAGCCGCATCTGCAGCCCAATGCCAGCTTGCGCTTGGGCTGCAGAGTCCCTGTGCGAGGCAGCTGCGTTTGTCTCCGGCCCAAGGGAAACAGACCGACGTGGAATCGCTTCGGGGGTGCTTGCTTGTTGGCAGGGAGCAGGTGACCTGGGGTACCCCAGAGATGAAAGAAAAGCCTCTGGCTGCTCTCGTTCATAGACTCATAGACTTAGACTTTAAGGTCAGAAGGGACCATTATGATCATCTAGTCTGACCCCCTGCACAGTGCAGGCCACAGAATCTCACCCACCCCTCCTAGAATAATCCTCTCACCTATATCTCAGATATTGAAGCCTTCAAATACTTTGAAGGCCCCAAGATGCAGAGAATCCTCCCACTGTGATCTGCGCCCCACGCTACAGAGGAAGGCGAAAAACCTCCAGGTCCTCTGCCAATCTACCCTGGAGGAAAATTCCTTCCCGACCCCAAATATGGCGATCAGCTAAACCCCGAGCATGTGGGCAAGACTCACCAGCCAGACACCCAGAAAGTTCTCTATAGTAACTCCTATCATCCCTCCATTGACCTATTTCCCACTGATAAGGAATGGTCAATTAGTTACCAAGATCATGTTATCTCATCAAACCATGCCCTTCATAAACCCATCTAGTTTAATCTTGAAGCCAGATAGATCTTTTGCCCCCACTACTTCCCTTGGAAGGCCGTTCCAGAACCTCACTCCTCTAATGGTTAGAAACCTTCATCTAATCTCAAGTCTAAACTTCCATTGCCTGGCGGGAAGCCAGAAGCGGAACAGCTAAGTGCCCGGGGCAACTTCTTGCTGCTATTTGCTCCCAACCGAGGGCCCCCCCAGAATCCCCGCCTCATGCAGTGCTCTAAGGCCAGCGCTCTGCTTCTGCCTGGCTCCAGGGATGGATACAGCTGCCAGGTGCCAGCTCAGTCGAAGGCCCTTGGGCCTTACCTCAACACTAACAGACGCCCCGCGGAAGCTGGGCCTGGCCCGCCTCTGCGTTGATGTGGTTCAGGGTTAGCGGAGCGACGCAGACGGGTTTGACTTGATGAAGCACTTGTCAGTTGCACCCTGCGCTACTCTTGCTTCTAACAGCCGTACCGCACGGTCTGCTCTGGAACCAGAAACCCCCAAGTCGGGGAGGGGCGTTCCCTGCTTTGCCCCGGGCGGCGTTCTCTCCTGCCCAGCCGCAGATGGCCAGTGGCCACTAGACAAACCATTGTGCGACATCCAAGGAGACCAGATTTTGTGCATTTCTGCCCCCGTGAAGTGGAGACCTGCAAGTAACCATCCCACCAGCTGGAATTCTGGGAAGGGAATAAAAATCCCCAGCAGGAAGAAACTGGGGCTTTATGGCGTTTGGATTCAGAGGGGGCAACGAGCTGGGGATACCCAGTTCTAGGTTAGCCCTGGAGGACTTACGGAGCTTGTGTATTACAGCAGCTTGCCAGGGCTTCTGACCCGGGGGTGGGGGAACGGGGCAATTGCTCCTAGGGGCCTAGGTGACTTAAAAGGGCTCCTATAGCAGCTCCTATAGCAATGAAGGTGGTTTCCATCCATGTGTGGAATAAATGTTATGTGCACCAAGTCATGTGCATATGTGCACCACCAATAGAAACACATGCTGCCAGCTGTGGGTGCTTTGCTAATCATGTGGGTGGCATCTGAATATCTCCAGGGTGACTGCCCAAGCACACAGCTTACAGGGAACATTGCTGGGTAGCACTGAAGGGCTGGTTGGGGGAGGTTAGCCCCAGCCCTGCCCTTTCTGGGGGAGGGAGCCTGCTCCCCCACCTTGCCCAGGGGCCTGGTAGCTTTTATGGGCAGCCTGTAGCTTCCATCACCTTTTCAGACCTCAGACAGGCGCTCGCTGGTCGGTGGATGTTTGTCGTAGTTACAGGGTTAAAGGACTCGTGTGTCTTTCTTAATTAATAGATCGTCACGTTGTTCGGTATGGGATTGGCTACCAGTGTTGCCTTTGCAGTAGCGACTAAGGTGCAGCTGATTTGGGGTAAATCAGAGGTGGGGAACCTTTTCGGGTCGGGGGCCACTGACCCACAGAAGAATCAGCTGGGGGGGGCTGCACACAAGTGAGAAGCAAATGACAGGGTCCCTGACTAAGGGGGAGACAGACACTCCCCACATTCCATTCCCACGCCAGAGCCGGGGCGGGGGGGCCAGACTAATAGATTTTGTGTGCTCCAGCGAACGGGGGGGCGGGGCGGGGGGGTTAGAGCACCACTGCAGACTTCCCAGTGCTGGGGGAGGGGGCAGGCCCTGAGGCTGGGGGGCCGAATCCAGGCAAGCTCAGAAGTTCCCCACCCCTGGGCTAAATAATTGGTGTTTTAGAATTGAATATTGTTGTGGGTTTTTTTTCGGGGGAGGTGTAAGGGATCAAGATAGAAAGCAGTGCCCAAGAGGACTCGCTGTGACTCTGACAAAGCTGTTTAATGCCGGAGGAGTTCACACTTGCTTGGTGACATCTACGTATAGCACTCCCTGCCAGTTCCTGCTGCGTGCCCTGCTTAACAGACTGCCGGAATTAGCCCTCCTGCTCCGCAGCTTCTCCAGACAGCTTGGCAGTCCCTGTTTCAAAGCCAGGTCAAAGACGATTAGAAGTTGTTAGCATCGTCACATGCTGGCTAAGTGGGTTGTCTTCCTCCGAGTGCCTGATCCAGAGCGGATAAAAGCCTTCTACTGCTCCCACGTAGTGGAGTTGCTCCGTGAGCTCCTGTGGCAGAGACCTGTCTTAGAGCGCCATATGTGGGGTTCAGTCTCCACAGGCACCTTTTTTTTGCGGGGGAGGGGTCATTACACATCTGGCAGCTGTTTGCTGAACTATTTGAACGGAGCAGTTTTGGTACAGGTTGCACCTGCCTGGTGCGGCACCCTCGGGCCCTGACTGCTCCTGGAGGAGGGATTTTGCTGGCCAGGAGATGTCATTTCTAACCAAGGGATGCTGTTAAGATGAAAGCTTTGTACCGTTCATCTCAGGTGCTTTACCTATTTGTTTTTCTTTCTTTAATAAAGGGCTGAAAGGATTTTAATGGTGTGTTTCCCATGGTTTTAAGCAGGCCTAAGTCTCTGTCTCTCAAACCGGCACCCAGCCTGGCTGGGACAGACCCTGGTCCGCAGCAGCCGGGTCCCTCTTACCCGTGTGACCAATAGAATTTTGATTGGTTACATGGGTAACCTTTTTGACATCCCTAGTACCAAACCCCAAGCCTTGTCTAACGTTGGGCAGTTCCTAGGGGATGTTAGCGCCTCTGGCTCATGTATTCCCTCTCTAGAAATACAACCGCTCCCTCAGAAAGGGTTCAGCATCTCCGGACCATGGCTTCCTCATAGCTCTCTGTGCTGCAGTTGTTCACTCCCCTCAGGCAGCTCGGTGGCGTGACACGCAGAAGGGGGCAAGCAATGCCCAT